CCGAATGCCGATACTGTGGAAGCATCTCAACGAGATCGATGGTCGCGTATCTTCTATGCTCTAAGTAGGAAATATTTCTTACCAGTTGAGCTAAGGCAGCGTTCAGACTTCGCGACTGCAGCGCTTCGGTCGCGCGATCGACGATCGATGCGCATGCTTTCAGCTGCATCGATCGCGTCGAACGTGCGACCGAAGCGCTGCCATCGCGAAGTCTGAAGGCTGCTTAACACACACTATCGTGGGGAACCCACGGTAGCTCTCAGTGAGTCAGTATGGTTCATGGGACGTCACTTTCCACGGGTCAGGTAAGGGAGAGGGGGGGAGAGAGATATGTGTCAAGACAATCGCAATTCCCTGCATTCGTGGGCATCGTGTACTTGTCAGACGGTACTCCTACAGAACAGTGCTGTGCAGCAGATGTAAGATCTAGCGCCAGCCCGGTTCTCCTAGAATGTAGCGAATCTCCTTTGGGAAAGAATGTTTTTCTACTGTCAAGCGTACTGCCAAGCGTTTCTGAGGTTTTCGTTCACTTCCAGACGCCAACATCAGTATGATAGGAGTTGAAGAGGATTCGAAAGAGTCATGTGATGCTCTGTTCCGCACCATTCAATGGATCCGAACGGTAAATTGTACAGACCACTTCTCAATATAATCGTAGCCTTTCAGTTTTTTTCTTCTAATTAGAATTTCTGTTCTGATCTACACGTTGCAAATCAAGTTCCAGGCGCTGTTGGGCTTAGGGGGGCAACCAGTAACTTTTGTTAGTTTCTTTCGCTAGTTCCTGTCAAATTACACGTTTCACCTTGTTAAGACCTACAGACTCTTGTCGAGCGTAAACGATTTCGTTCTGTTGCAAGCTTTAAGGCCCTTAATCGTACTTTGTAGCAGCGTCCACCAGCGTTCCGAGTGTTCGGCAGCGTCAGCGACTGTATAGATATCGATCTGGCGTTTGCCAGCGTCCACTGGGCCAGCGTCTCGAAGGCTAGCAAAGTATAGGTATCGATCTACCAGCGGCTAGCAGCGTCCGGGAGTGGAGAGTATGGGGCGATAGGAGGGTAGCAAACAGCTGGTAGAGTAAGGGAATAAGACGGTAGCAGACTGCTGGTACTGTATGGCGCAGTAGGAGGGTAGCTGGCAACTGGCTAACCTCCTATCGTGCCATACTCTATCAGCAGCCTGCCACTCTCCTATCGCCCTGTAGTCTCCACACCCAGACGCTGCTGGTGGCTGGTAGACGCTGGCAGACGCTAGATCGATATCTGTGCTTTTCCTGCCGCAAAGTATGAACGCAGACTCATGGAAGTTACCGGTCTCCACAAGATGAACTGGCAGTGATCGATGGAAACTGGTCACATCCCCCACCTAGCAGAACTGCCCAAGTCTCATTCTTTCAGATGGCCTAAAAATCCCGCATAACTTCTCGTGAATTTATCATTGGAAAAATATGGCTAGGCTGTGGTACGTATCATTGATAGCCCTGAGAGTTGGGCGAGTGTTGTGCCTCGGACCCAGCTGTGCTTTATGAAGTGAATGCCCTCCTTCTTCTGAGACCACTTTCACCAATGATTCTCTTGCTCGCTAAATGAAAAGGGCTTTGTCCTTTGGATTGCGCCATGCCCTCGGCCTTCATTCGTAATCTCAGTGGCTTTTTTCACAAGAATTTCATTTATCTATTTCATGAGATGATTTATGGGATCACGTACAAGTTCATGACACCAAGCTGCCAGACAGTATCAGTTTACCGTTTCGAAATCAGCACCGTTCGTCAGAGTCGACGGGCCATCTGCACTGTAGCCCAGTCAATTTCCCTGACCTTACCCATGCTGTTTTGTCCATTGTGCAACTGGTAGATCTTGCTAAATCTACCCTAAGGCATTCAATATAATCTCAACTGAAGTAGTTTTTCATTGTGATAAGCTTTCAGCTGTTCAATGTCTTCGCGGAGGAGCAGACTTGCCCAAGTGTGGACAGTCAGACATTGGATGAATTATGGACCAAAAAGTTTTTGCTGTTGTTTGAATGTCACAAAGAGCTCAATAAAAAAGTGAAGGGTAAGTTTGGTACTGCGCACCATAAATACTTCGTATGTAATGGGTGAAATATTCAGCGTTAGGTCAGTGGTCTGTTCCTGATCGAACCCCTTTGTCTCGGGTTACTGTCGTAGCAGCTGGAGGTGAAAAACAAGCCACCGAAGAAAGCTCCGAAACGTAAACGTAATGCGCCAGCTGAAGAGACGGAATCCGCGGAGGTATGTAACGTCTTTTGTTTTCTTGCCGACTGAGGTTTTTTTTCCTGAAAGCCTAATTTTGAGGCGAAATTTAGTTTCAGCAGAATGTGAACAGAAGCTTAAGAATTTATTCCCAACCTGAATTTGCAGATTTTAGGGTATTCTAGCCTCCTACGCAGGCGGTACCGTCTAAAGACATTGGTCCTAAGAGGTGTGCTAGAGC